CTACAAAACCATATCCAAATTCACGTTCCACTTCTGAGCCTGTGTTGTGCTTCGCACACGCCGCTGAGGGCGGCGTTCCGGGAACCCTGCGTCCAGAAATTAACGTATTCCGCATGCAACGCAAGATGGATAAATTATGACGTAATGGTTGCGTCAACCGATAGCACAATCATATTGCGATGGAGTAGATGAGGCGGAGGGGCGGCACCGATCAAAGCAAGAGAAGGCTTAGAGTTCCAGGGTCCCATGGGTTTACAATAAGCTTTCATGAGGGTCTACCGGCAAAGCCTCCGGTTTTACCCTAATTAATTCGAAGCAATGTAATAACAATTATATAGACCATTAAACATATTCAATGTATTATGTTTTTAAGGAAATTGTGTTCTGTGTTGTATCGGCTATTTTGGTTCTAGCCGGGTCTGCATGCCTAGCGTCTGAGATTCACAAAAAACAAGACCAGCAAGTCGCAGCCTGTGTAAGTTACTGTACCACGAGCATCTCTCATTTAACTTCCAATTTACGCCTATTTATTAACAGTTTTGTATATAATGACATGAATAAAATTGAAAATAAAAAACTGATTTTCTGAAGATTGCCGTATCTGTTTACATAAACATCAAAACTGTGTGTAAAATCGATTTATAAATATGCATTAAGTCAGGCAATTATCATTATACCGTCTCTTTTTTAGGTGCTCGGTTTTACAGCGTTTGTTCTTCTGTTGGCGGAATGTGCTTTCCTGTACCGTACAGCCAACTCTGTTTCTTTGTAATTCTCTGTATTTAGCAACTTTTAATCATGAAGTATTTTTATGATGATATTTGGACTCCATTATGCTAATCAATACTTAAAACATGCCATTCATGTCGCCTGAAAAACGACCAAACTGATTGCAAAACACTTTATTTGAGTTGATGTATCTTGTTCCTGTTTTACTTTTTTTATTTGCTATTACTATTTCATGTCAGTGCACTATAGGCCTACTGCATCAGTTTACATGTAAAGTAACGTAGGTCTGTAAGCAAAGGTTACGCTAATCTTTGTTGCCAAGTAAATATAGTTTAACCATATCCTAAAATATTGATGTAATAATTTTGTAATTATTAGGTTTAAGTTGTGTTCCATGTTCTGCCTGTAACCCCTTACTCGGATGTTGGATAAAGGTTCAGAGCCATATATATTTTGAGAATGGCGCCCTCATGATGGAACCAGTGGCGTTTTGTAAGGCCTACACTTCGTAGTTGCTAAATACCACGATTTCAAGGAAGGTGTGGCTTCTTAGTGTGACGTCATGAATAATTATAATAATAATGAAGCAGTAGTAGTCATCATTCCTTCCTACAGATGAGACAAAATGTTGTTTTTTTTTTGTTTTTTTTTTCTTCTAGTTTTTTAACAAAAGGTCATTAATTAATTATTAAATGATGATGATGATGATGACGATGATTATTATGGTGATGGTGGTGATGATAATTGTGTTGATGATGATGGTGGGTGGTGGCGATGGTGACGATAATAATGATAATGATATAAATCGATAATGATGATGATGATGATGACGATGATTATTATGGTGATGGTGGTGATTATAATTGTGTTGATGGCGATGGTGACGATAATAATGATAATGATATAAATCGATAATGATGATGATAATATTAATAATAATAATATTAATAAAAATAAAAAAATAAAAAATAAATAAATAATACAATTTTAATTGTTTACAAAAAAAATACAATTTCTATTCCTGTTCTTATTATTATTAACAATTATTAACAATTTTTTTTAGAAATTATTTTTTTTGTAAACAGAATTAAAATTTTTTGACTTTATTAATTGTATAAATATTTACAACCTTTTGATGTTTGACGGGTTCTTGATACTTCTTTGATTATACTGTATTAATTGTATTCTCATGTAATTTACCGTTGATGCTGCCAGTTGAGATCAAATAAAATAAAATTTAACTGAAAATCCTTCATTTGCGCCGATTCCAAAATATGATCAAAGGCGCAGTATGTTATAAACCCCTTTAAGGTGTTAAAGAGATGCGCATATTTAAATGTAATAAGAGATAGACGACCTATTACCTAGATAGGTCATTCCAAATACAAAAGGCAGTAGATGTAAGTCTACAGGCGACTAGTGGGAAAGTAGCGATAAAAAACATTAAGGTAAACAAATTAAGAATTAAAATTAAGTTTTGAAAGTGCATTAGCGCCGAAGGAGGTAAGTAAGGTATGACGGTAAACTCAGAAAAAGTGCTTTTAAACGTTAGGCCTAGAATTTTTTTTTTATAGAGAATGCGCTTTTTGCGGTAGGTAGCCAGTGAATATTAAAATACTGTATTATGGAGCTCACACGAGCAGCATTATTTTGAATTAAATTGAAGTACCAGGAAGATTCTCACCTCACAATAACTTTACAATGATACAACTATAAATCCTACCTACCAATCCTTCTTGAACAGCACAGTTTGAGCCTGTCTATCTCAGTATAAGGCCTACTATATATGAAATATAATTTTGATTTGAGATAAGGAGTTGACATTTGTCACAAGCTTAAATATTGGAAATTATGCTACAAAATATGGTATACCCATATGATCAAAGGCAAATAGGAAGTTTTTCCTTCTGAAAAGCTTAAAGAAATTTGGTTTCAACACTGAGGAATTAGGCTCAGTTTATTGTGGGTACATAATCAGTGACGTAACTACAGCAGGTTCAGGCGATTCATTGAACATGGGCCTCGATCTTTAGGGGCCCCGCGCCCCCTTATAAAAAAAATCTAATAAAGCAATGTATAGAACAATCTTTATAGATAATATGTATCTTTATAATTTTATAAAGATCAATTAATTAATAAATTATACATGTCAGGCCCCCTAATGCTTACAGTTGTAAAAATGGTTGCTAGAACGCCGATATCATCGTGATGGATGGAAATCCACAGTGAAACAGATCGTCATCTATGCATACATGAAAGCCTTACCAATATAAATTACCAACAAATATCCTTCGTCAACAAAACTGTCCTTTCTTAGTGTAAGCTATTAGCTACAACTTGTTCACCTTGCAGATATTTCGTCTGTCTACCAATACTTGACTAAATTAAAACTGCTTATAATCGCTAAACACCTATCAATAGAAAACACATCACACGAGACTTCATGAAATACATACCCTAGAGCGTGAAAATCAAGTTAATAATGTCTCAAGCCGAATTAATTCGACAAGTTATGTTGAATTTAAATGATGGTGGTGGTGATGATGGGAAGAATGAATAAATGAATGATGGGAACATAGGCCTATATAGGCCTAGATTTAGTAAAAGTACGATAGATACAATAATAGTACATTTGTAATCAATATTTCTGTCCCGAAGACTAAGAACCAGGATTGTATTACTTTAGTGAAAAATAATAAATTGTACAATATTCGATTTCATAAATGGGTTCGCACCCGGAATGGTATTCAGCGAGAGTGGTGTGTACTAGTATGGATTACTTCAGTAAAAGAGAGTAATTGCTAATTATGCGTCATAGGCCCGACGGTACTCTCAAACCAGGGCTTCTCAGAACTTAGTTATGCCACTGTACAAAGACCCGCACTTGAATATGCGGATGTCGTGTGGCACCTTGGGTTAACGGAGTAAATCCCTTAGTAATAGTATTGAATCCGTCTACAAAAGAGCCTGCCTCACCATTCTAGGAAGGGACTTCCAGACATAAAAAACCCCCTAAATCACAGTAATTTTTCTCCCCTTTCTGAAAGAAGGACTACACCAGGAGCAAATCCAGAGAGGTCCGAAAGGGGAGGCGATGTCCCCAAAAGGGGGCCGATTGAGACAACACTACTCTAGGGGCATCACCCCGGGAAATTTTTGTTTTCTAGACGCCCGGAAATATCCTATGACGCGTTTTGGGCGATCAATAAGCCTATTTTTCCCCCCTTTTTTTTAAACATTCCGAAGGTGGGTGGGGGAAACCGGGTCGGCCCCTTTTTTTTTAACTTTCCGAAGGTGGGTGGGGGGAACCGGGTCGGCCCTCTGAATCCGCCCATGTACACATTGCATCAAGTTTGCTAAAAAGAATCTCTCCACAACTACCCACTCTGCAGACCTTGGTCAATCACAATTATCCACTAGAACGATATAAAAAAAAAAATTAAAAAAATAAAAAAAACTGTCGGCGAATTGGCTGTCAACGAATGACTGTCAGCGACTATCGACGAATTGACTGCGGGCGACTGTCGACACAGAAGAGGAGAGGGTTACGAGAGAAGGAGTACGTCTCCCCATGGAGGAAATATATTTCCTCCATGGTCTCCCCAACATTCATAAAAGATGAAAAAAAGTCACTGCGTAATAGCGCATGATGGAGCAATGATAATACATGTTTAACAGGTAATGCAAATATGTATGCGCAATTTAAACAAAACATGACCAAAAGGGACTGTCCCTTTACAGAACCTTAGTTTGAATAAGGAACTAGGAGCCAACTTCATAGACATTTACATGTGTATTTTAGCACTTGAATTGCACTTGCATTACCTGTGTGTTTGATGTAGTAGCCCATGCATACAATTCCTTCGCCACTCTGACCAATCACCAGCCGTTACAATTGTTTTAAGTCAATATGTAACGCTAAAATTAGTGTACTATAATTCGCCGCCTCAAAACATTGTTTTTCTGCTGAAAGGTAAGTTACGTCGCCTTACGTTTAACTATCTTGTATAATATTGAATAAAATCAAAGTATGCCTATGTTATTTGTACATCAAGAAGGTTTCAATCCAATAATAATATCGTCGTTAGTATTTTTAGTCAGGATATAGTACTGTAATAAGTATATAAGCCACTGATAAACTCGCGTAAGGAGGCACACTTATTATTATTCACTTACTTATCACGCCTTTCTTTATAGATACGAAGCGCATTTTACCCCTGTCATTGGGTCCACATGCTTAAGTGTTGCTGCTGTAATCAGTGCATGAGCAGGCAATCTCAGAGTTATCCATTTATATTCCTGTGTGGAGAGTAGAAATGTAAATAAAGTCCTTTGCTCAAGGACACAGCAAAATGCACAGCGAGGGATTGAAACCCCGACCGACCCACCTCAAGATTGGGGAAAACCGTTCCCTCTGCGCCAAATCACAATGACACTCGGATTCTGAGATTCAAAATTCATATCTGGGCACAGATTAGTCAAATAAGGTTGGTTCCACGGGATTCATTTCCAGTAATAGTCATCTGTAGCCTATTTGCGTCCCATCCTTATCAGCCCCTCTTTAAGACTCCTAACTAAACTGCTCACGTCTGAATAAATATTATCATACAGAACTTTGTTAGTAGACGTTACTTTTTTAAACGATATGGGCCTAAAATAAATTAAGTAGACCACATAGAGCACGCTTTATACAGTATAACATGGATCCTATAGGCCTAATGCTTTTTTAAGGTTTTGTGATATAACGCGCATGTCCCATTTAAGTACCATCCATTACAGACTTCAGAGGCCTACCAACAAATTAAGCGTAATATGAGGATAAATGCTTGCGATCAAGTTACAGTAGATGCTCTTAAAAGAACTGTTGTCAGGGAAGAATTTGGGTTCACTTATGGGGGTGGGGAGTGGGGTTAAAATGTTTTTTTTTTAAACCCAAAAAGGTGATTGGGGGTCCTTCCCTGGGAAAAAGTTTGATTCCTAAATGGCGGAAAATGAGCTTTCCCGACTTCTGAGGTGTCTTTTAATGACTAAGTTCTTCAAAACGGTCAGGTAAACTTTCTCATTCTTATTACAGTAAATAGGTATATTTTTGGGTATACATACCCAAAAATTGAGTAGCTGCATACGTACTATTTTTTCCATGTAAACCCCAAAAAGCAAGGGGTCCGAAAAAATGTTGATTATATATACACACAATATAATCTCGCCTGAGAATCCAGCATGAAAGTGTGTCCACGGGAACCGTGATATTGTTTTCCCCAAATAAGTTGTTTGTATCCTACAGATACAGAAACATGGAATTTAAATACGTCATCACTCCCAATGGATTACTGAAGATCAGCGAGATTGTAAGTATTTTTATCAACACAGTACTATTTTTTAAAAGTTACATTAGATCTAAAAGTTCATTATTTGAGCTTAAACATATTGCAAGCCGTCTCTCAAGCGACCTAATTACCAGCCCTTGATTAAGGTTGTTTCAAATAATAACACATTCATTTTCTGGTATGCACTATAAATTAATGACAATATCCGATAGTGTAGTCCACTGGGTGGGGGTGGGGTTAATCAGGTAATATAATGTCTAAGCAAAGTGGTGTGAATTCCCATAAAAACGCCGATCGTTGCTTGTTTCTTAATCGTGTTCATATTTCGTTCGATGCTTTGTTCCTTTTAGGTCTACTGTATTATTTTGAAGAACATGCTTCTCTCAAGTATCTCATAAATATTTGCTTACAGATTATTCTGGCTATCGCATTTGACTTCATCGTCGAGCTCATCATCGATATCGAAAACTGTACCATGTACATGTACTATCATGCAGAAAGAGAAAACTGTACCATGTACTATCATGCAGAAAGAGATATATGCTGTGACGAGGCCCCATGGCAGTATTACATATTTTCGGTGTCTGCAATCCTTGTGGCAATTCTGACGTTAGTTGCTTTAGTGGCTCATGTTATTATGCCTGCATGGATGAAACAGATTAAAGCAAAAGTCGCAAAAGTGGTATGATTAATTTGTTATTTAATCAGATTGCATTCAACTGTTAGATTCGCATGCAACAGATTAGTAATTCCATGGCTTCAACTGACTGCGTGCGCATCGAATTAAGGGCTGGGCCAACCGATAGCAAGTGTACCATCACCATAGCCTGGGTTTCAAAACTTAATTTAAGTTGTAACCCATTATTTTAGCCAGACTTTTCTTTATCTTTTAATTTCAATTGTTTGTGTAATTTCTTTATATTTGGATAATTTCTATATATTTTATTTAATTTTCATATTGTGATATTTTTTTAACTTTTACACTGCCACGCTGCAGATAAATTGTATTAATAGGCCTATGTTTAGAGACTCCTAGATGCTAAGGCTGTGCCTTGTGAGGAGCCTCCGTGTGAAATATTGACAACATAATTTAGGTTACTCAGTGAATTCTGTGAAATACAATCTTTTTAATAGGCTTAAGTGCGCCATCATAACAAATTTTATTGGCGTCCAATATATTTTCTATTTCTATCGTTCAAACCGGTTACCGTTCAAAACTTCAAACCTTCTCCAAATTAACTCACTCGTTGTTGGTGCTCTCCAGACTAAGATTATGGGGACTTGAGGCAAGCCTACATCATAGTGCGATTGAGTAGATATTTTCGTCAGGAGTTTCCCGACTGGGGCCACACAATCAAAGCAAACAAGGCTGGAGGTCGGAGTTCATCCTGCCCCGATGGGGTCCACATTGAAGCCTTTGTGAGGGTCTTTCTTGGTGAAGCCCCCGGTTCGTACCTGAATAGTTCGCAGCAATGTAATATTAGACCATTAAACATAATAATTCACTTTATTTTGTTATTTAAGGAAATTGTGTTCTGTGTTGTATTGGCTATTTTGGTTCTAGTCGGATCTGTATGCTTAGTGTTCGTGCAACAAGTCCAGAAAGATGGAGCCTGTGTAAGTTACTGTATGTAGTCTGTAGACCTCTATCATTTGACTTTCAATTCTCAAAAGTTTGAGTGGCACAGGTTGAAACATTAAATCTTAGTCAACCAGTGGCGGATTTAGGGGGTGAGGATAGGCCGGCCGCGGCCCTTACCTTTGGAAAGTAAAAAACAATACTTTCCCAGGACCCCTTAGGGTAGTTTGGCAAAGAAAATTTATAGTGTGGACAAAGATTTATGTGACAAATATGTGTGAATTGCCCATACACGGGCAGGATGATCACATCATATAGGCCTATATATATATAACGGGCATAATGATCTTATATCCTTAGTGTACAGAGGCAAATCATAGTTGTCAAAATCTGATTAAAACGTCTACCAGCCTTCTCGTAGTTTCAACTACGCATATCCATTTCGATTGTGAAGTCATAGCAAACAACTCATATGACTGTTTTAATAAGATTGCTATATACGTCTACTGAACTGTAAACATCAAAAACTGTGTGTAATATCGATTTATAAAAATGGAGTATGTTTTTTTTAAAAATAGTATTTCCCACACAAAGACACACGATGTAGGCCTAATAGAACAATGATGGATATAAGATAATTGAATGGTACAAATTACGTCTCTTTTTAGATGCTCGGTTTTATAGCAGTTCTTCTTCTATTGGTGGAATGTGTTTTCCTGTACAGTACAGTCAAGTCCGCTTCTTCGTATGATCAAGAACAATTGATTTAATAATTATTTGTTGGCTTCATGAATGCTACAGCTAATCACAATGCTTCCACACAAATCCATACTTTTATCCTGTAAAGACACTTTACTTCCGCTTATTACCAAATACTTTAATATGATTGTTACGGGTGTAATCCCAGATGGAAAAAGGGAATTACTGTCCTATCCACAAAAAAAGGCTCTCCGCATGACCCTAATAATTACCGGGCAATATCCTTATATCAATGTTATACAAACTGTTTACTTCTGTGCTCAACAATTGAGGTATTGGTGTGACTGTCAAGGAGTTACCTCGGGGGATCAAGCGGGATTCCGTAATGAATAGCACAAACGACTACACTGACGTTAAGCGCAATTATTTGTAAATACTTACGAAAAAGGAGAGGCCAAATGTATGCAATATTTGTTGATATGAAAACAGTTTTGGTTTTATACACAAAAACTATGGTACAAACTAAAATTAGGCATCATGAAAGAATTTATTAATGATTTACAAACTTATTACAATAACATATCATTACGAGTTACTTACGAATATAGCAACTTTCTTGAATGTAATTAATGATTGAGACAAGGATGTAACCTCTTACCTTTTTTTTGTTTACATTTGTGAATTAAATGATTACTTTTTGAACATGGCATCAGAGGTATCCAATAGTCAGTATTCTGAAATATATAGACGATTCTTTTGTTGGCTGGCACGCTAATAAACATAAAAAAACATGTTGTGTGTTCTCGAGCAATACTGCGACATTTATGTTTAGGGCCTAATCTAAAATAGAACCTTTACTTCTACCTTATTTCAGTGATGGCAGTAAGTTATTAGACAAAACAATGAAAACATTGTCCAACGCGCGAAAGACACAGCGATCAGTAGAAATGGACAATATTGAAATTCAGACAAAAATTATAATGAAATATTAAACATAGAAAACACAACTGATTATATTCATTTAGAAATATTAATATTAAGTTGGCCGAAAAAGCATTCAAAAGCAGGAATTTTGCTGAAATTGGCTGTTAACGAATTAATTGTCGACGACTATCGACGAATTGACTGCGGGCGACTGTAAGAGTATAAAGTTACGAGAGAAGCCTGTAGCGTCTCCCCAACACATATACATATATATACATACATACATACATACATATATATATATATATATATATATGATATTGAAGGAAGTTAGCCGTAAACACTGTTGAATAAATATAATATAAATCATCAAATGTACATATACAGTGTTTAATAAGGACATGATGGAACATCGTAGGCTACCCTGTAGCTTTTGAACGAATAAAGTCCTATGAAAAATCATTATGTAATAAAATTCCTCCGACGGGATTCGAACCTGCGACTTCTCGCTGACAAGGCGAGCGTCATTACCACTAGACCACGAAGGCTTCATGGTTGAACAGGTCCAAATACCCGTCG